ATATAGCCATAAACAGGCTGAGAAGGGGCAGACAAAGGTGGCTCTCAATCACCTCCCTTCTTTTCCTTTCCATTTTCCCCTTTTATCTGGGATGTGTTGGCTGCTTTCTGGGCTGCCACTCTGTTGGCACGCTTTAATTTTGCCTCCTCTCCCTTCTTGCTTTCACTCTTTCATTGCTGTTTTTCTCCCACTGTCACCTACATGGAACATGAACCTTATAGGTTCCTGGATGGGTTTTCCAGTCTAGGATGTCCCAGCAGTTTGAAACAGGGAAAACAGGCACCAGTTTGGGTAAGCTTTCCCCCATGATAACAGACACTGCTGGCTGCTCATAGTCTGTGCTCAAGCAAGCACATTCAACTGAAAGAGACTCAGGACAGATCCCGTGCTGGCATAAAACATCATCTTTCTTCGGACACCTGCAGCGTACTGAGTGTCTGTAGGAAGAGGCACTACCTTGCATCAGCTCAAGCAGTATGGCTGGGAAAAGAAGCAATCTTTAGGCAGGATCCCCTCTTCAAGCCCACAACAGAAGCAGCTTCTTTGAAAGCTGGGTACCAGTTCAAAGCAGTTGTTCAGAGCTCAGCCCTTCTGACAAGCTGCATTATTTATTTCCTTTAAAGCAGAAGTTCTAAGGATGAAAAGCTTTAGCTTAAAGCTACAGAATGTTTTATAGATACAGCTTTTGTTTCCCCACAAGTCTCTGAACTTCGTACATACCATTTATTTAATTCAAAAGTCAACACTTTTTGCCAATAACTAAGTTTTACATAATTTCTGTAGGAGCGTGCTGGGAGAAAACATCTGTTTTTCTGTCCCTCTATGAAGCGACACAGTGAGCTATGGTCACACATACAGTATTAGTACAACATACTACTTTCATAAAGTCAATGCAATGCAGGCTGCCCAGCATAGCTCCTCTCCTTTGGAGAGATGTGGGGTATTTCTTGGGGTAAAGTGTCTATATCCTCTTCAGAGCTCCCTCTGGTACGTGGTAGGCAGTTGGGCCACCAGTAACAGGATCTCTGCTGTCATTCATCACTGCTTTCAGTGTTTCCACTCCCTGTGCTCTTACCACAAGCAGCAGCAAACTGCTGCCGGCATCAGAAACGTCTATTCCTATACAAGTTGCTGAGTATGAGACACTGCAGCAATAAACAAGGATCACTACCTGCCAAAACAACAGTGGCAAGGCCCAAGCTCAGCATCGCAATGGAAAGTCACCGCATCAGACTAACAGAACCAGCCCTGAAGCAACCACATAAAGAATGGCACGGCGGTGGTGGGACAAGAGGGAGGGCTTTCCCCACACCTTTGCAAGCCCCATAGGGAAGTGGGAAAGCATGGGGACAGGGGGAAAATCCCTGCCGGCCAGGCTGGGATGGCAGCGAAGGGGGTGATGGGATCCTTTCCTTTCTCCACCAGAAACCAAACCGTGTCCCCGACCTGGCCTCAGGGATAGTTTTAGTGCAGAGGGTGGGAGAGCCCAGCACCCGGCTGTGCTGCTTCAAAGCCCATTGAAACTTTCTTGACTTTCCTTCTGCTCCGGGGCCCCTTTGCATGGCGTCAGCAAAGCCTGAGCTGAGCCCAATTAATGGTGATGGCCGGGTGCTGAGCGCATGAGCAACAACCCCATGCACAGAGCGGGCCCGTAGGGTGCAAAGGGTAAGCCCGCACGTATAACACACACGCAGGAGTTGATTACGTGTAAGGCAGAGGCTGGGATGGTGAGAAGAGAAACTCTTCTGTCCTCTGACATGCTCAGAGGCAGCGGGCAGCACCTTCCTGAAAGGCACATCCGTACCTACAGCAGCACAGGCAGGTCACCTGCGAAATGTGCCCTGCTGGGCTGTTTGTCCTTACTTCAAACAAAACTTCATACTGTAACTATGTGCATCATTTCATCCAGTACGCAGTTCCTATGGTGAAACAGCCATATCAAGCCACATGGGTCTTTAGCCTGGAGCACGTTAAACCAGCATGCACTCAAAGTAACAGCATTAAAAACCCAGTGAAGTTTGGAAATATCCCCTAGCAGCTTCATAGCCGCATTGTTATCCTACAGATCTGTCGCTGTTTTCTGAGGCTACTCATTGGATCAGGGGCTCTGATCATAATGAGACTCTGGATCTCATTATAACGAGCCTCACTGGATCATAAGCTTTTCTTCCTCTACCCTTACAAAGCAGTAAATGATCAGAAGTGTTTGAAGAGCCTTCTAAGCTTGCTTCATTTATTCCTATGTATAAGTGCAGACATGAAGACTGAATCTGTATGTGCCCAAGTCCATGCTGTGCATGCAGCTTCATGTAAAGGTAGCTCCTCTGGTTCTTTACAGTCGAGAACCTCTGTCTTTCATTGAGGCAGTGCTCTTTTGAAATCTTTATTCCTCATGGCTAAGGAGCAGGCAACTACCTGATGATTTCCTGACATGCCTTTCTGTCATGTGGGAAGGTCCTGAAGCTTGTCTCCAGAACCAGTTTGTGGCCGAGGATGCAGGAGATGTGGGATGTGATACAGGAGGTGCAGGATGTGATGCAGGAGATGAGGGATGTGATGCAGGAGGTGAGGGATGTGATGCAGGAGGTGAGGGATGTGATGCAGGAGGTGCGGGATGTGATGCAGGAGGTGCGGGATGTGATGCAGGAGGTGAGGGATGTGATGCAGAAGATGTGGGATGTGATGCAGGAGGTGCGGGATGTGATGCAGAAGATGCGGGATGTGATGCAGGAGATGCGGGATGTGATGCAGGAGGTGCGGGATGTGATGCAGGAGGTGCGGGATGTGATGCAGGAGATGCGGGATGTGATGCAGGAGGTGCGGGATGTGATGCAGGAGATGAGGGATGTGATGCAGGAGGTGAGGGATGTGATGCAGGAGGTGAGGGATGTGATGCAGGAGATGCGGGATGTGATGCAGGAGGTGCGGGATGTGATGCAGGAGATGAGGGATGTGATGCAGGAGGTGAGGGATGTGATGCAGGAGGTGAGGGATGTGATGCAGGAGGTGAGGGATGTGATGCAGGAGATGCGGGATGTGATGCAGGAGATGCGGGATGTGATGCAGAAGATGCGGGATGTGATGCAGGAGGTGAGGGATGTGATGCAGGAGGTGAGGGATGTGATGCAGGAGATGCAGGATGTGATGCAGGAGATGCGGGATGTGATGCAGGAGGTGCGGGATGTGATGCAGGAGGTGAGGGATGTGATGCAGGAGGTGAGGGATGTGATGCAGGAGGTGAGGGATGTGATGCAGGAGGTGAGGGATGTGATGCAGGAGGTGAGGGATGTGATGCAGGAGATGCGGGATGTGATGCAGGAGGTGCGGGATGTGATGCAGGAGGTGCGGGATGTGATGCAGGAGGTGAGGGATGTGATGCAGGAGGTGAGGGATGTGATGCAGGAGGTGAGGGATGTGATGCAGGAGGCGAAGGATGTGATACAGGAGCTGTGCCAAGACGACTCATTGATTGGAATTTCAGGGCACCAGCAACTGCACCTGAGCCAATTCTGCTTCCACTGCTGGTCACTTACGCGTAGTTCATTGTATGCTGTTCACATCTGGTTATGGCTGGCACCACTCTAGCACTTGAGATAAGACTGCTGGCAAAATCAAGGAAGTCAGGTCCAGAGCAGATCCATCAGGTATTTATATATTCTGCTGAAATCACAGTATCACAGTATCACAGTATGCTGGAGATTGGAAGGGACCTCAAAAGATCATCTAGTCCAATCCCCCTGCCAGAGCAGGAACACCTAGATAACGTTACACAGGAATGGAAGTGAGGGCTGCACATGCTCTTCTGGAAGTGGGCTCCACTGGCATTAGGAAGTTAGGGGTGGTGGGAAAAGAGATGGAAGGTTGCAAGTAGTGAGTGAGTACTCGAATGAAATGAACTTCAAGGTGGAAAACAAACCACTTCAAGGTGGAAAACAAACCACTTCCATTAGAGCATCCCAAAATAAGAATATTGCATTGTTTAAGAGATTTCTTGGCTAAAACTTACTGTGGCTATGGATTATTGTATTTCTTCCTGCGTTCTTCATGAAAGTTGGCACGCCCTGGTAAATGGCAGCACTTCCATGGTGTGCAGCATGGCTTGAGGCAGCAAAATCTGGCCCTAATACTAGAGTTAAGCAAACTGTTAAAATAGGAACTGAACCAAATGCCCCGATCTCCTCCCCAAACTCAAACTAAACCTGTTTTGAGGTTCAGGAATGTTTGGTTAACTTGAAGTAAAACAATGTTGTGTTTCTGCACATCCTGCTTTCAGCAAAGCCTCCAGGCAGGCATACAAAACATGGCAGGCAGGGCTCTGTTTGCACTATTTCTGGCCCAGCTGAAACCAGCAAGGACTGGAAATCTCACAAAACCAGCTTTGTCCCACAGGGTCCCCAGCTCCCCGGGTCTGCCACTGTTCCTATACAATATAACTCATGTACATACGGATTTACTATTAACTTTATACCAGGTAACCATGATGAACAAATTCCCCTGGGTATCAGACACATGAAAACCCCATTTTTACTTCACGGTGGCAGCACATTATCTGTACACTTTAAAGTCCTTTTACACTCATCCTTATGGAGTCACTGGCATAGCTGTATGAAGACAAGATGACTCTTGCGGTACATGACAACGAACGGCAGCAAACAATAACCAAGGTAACAAACCATGCGCATTTTGTGCTTCGTATTTGGTTCAGGGCTAATTTCTAACACGTAATCCCCAAATTTGCTGTTGGACATCTTTGACAAGTCTCTTTATTGAATTTGCAAAGCATAAATATGAAATCAACAGGATTTTTTGGAGGTGCATACTTCACCATATAAAATTGCTCCGTTCTGTGTACCAGACTTCTGCAAATCCACATTAAAGGAACATTTAGTATTATTGCTAGAAATGATATCACTGTCAGCAAAACATACGACAAACACCCTGATTACTCAGCTATCTGCTGCACCACAACAAAGTCATCCCAAACGATGCAGTACCACAGCTTCATGTTTGCTAGCCAGATTTATTATGTTTTCCAGATTCCAACAAGACACAGATATTAAGAAATGTGTGTTAATCATTGCCCTAATGAGAACAACATGCAGTTAGCATTTAGGCTGTCACAAAAAATACGGGCGGCGAGCACAGACTAAATGCACTCTAAATCCAAGGAAACCCAAGCCTTCTTCCCGCTAGCAAGTTTCAGTGGCATGGTCATGTCCAGGGGAACAGCTCTAATCAGCTACCTAAACTTTAGCAGCTCTGTGTATATGCTTTCATTAGGCACAAGGCAAAGTAAAATGCCATTTTGACCGCAGCTGTGAAAGCAAAGTAACCACTGTACCACTTGCTCACGTACAAGAAGCTATGAGCATACAAAGCACTAAAAGCCTTGCCCAGCATCTCCCCTCCACAGACATCAAACCTCCCAGCGTGGCACTGGGACAACTTCTGCAGCAAACAAGTACCCTACACGTATAAGAGGACAAGAATATGGCTTTAAACATATTTGCAAATTATAACTAAAAGGCATGCCTAGACTCAATAGAATAAGCCAATTTACTTCATTTGGTAAAAGGGCAAACCCCATCACCATTCCACACTTCTGGGGGCCTGAAGGTGCACAGAGATTTGGTTTGAGTTCTCTAAAGCAAAAGAAAGCAAGGCTTTTTTTGGTTAGCTATTTATTCACCTTAAAGCAGCTTTCACTCTGCCCACCAGGAAAGGATGCAGAGTTAATAAATGAGGTTTGAGATGCTGACGGAGCAGCAAACAAGGCAGGCATCAATGGAGTGGGAGCAAGAGGAAGCAAGATTGTCATTTCTGCTTGGACTGCAGTAGCTTGCAGCCCCACTGCTCAGGGGTCATCCAAAACTCCCTCCCATTCCTCCTCCCAGCTCCCCACACTGGCCACACAGCTCCACCTTTCACTCCATCCGCATCCCCAGGCACTGTGTGAACGCTGATTTAGCCTTTACTAACTGCACACTAAGAATGGCTTTTTTCTCACTTCTACCTGGACTCATGGGGCTGGTTTTATACCCTTCTGAGTACAGAAACTTTTGAGAATAGTCACAAAAGATTAAAGCCATTTAGGACACGGTACCTCTCAATCTCTTTGCGTAGGTTAAAACTAGTATTCCCTTGAAAAGTGAGAGCTGAAGTAAAATGTGACTGAGGAATGTCTCACTGCACCCTCCCGGAGTACCAAAAGTGTAGTAAATGTAAGAAAACTTTGGCTTGCTTTTCTGGGGGTGTACCTTTCCCTCTTTCCCTCCCTTTCACACTGTTATCCCAAGTACCAGGCAAGCATTTTCTGCATGTCAACTAGCATTCCATGAATAGTTACTCCAGCTTCCCTTCAGAAAGAAAGAAATCAGCTCAGACATTGGACTACCAGCTTCCTGACGGGCAGAAAGTGAAAAACAGAAAGCAAAACTAAGCCAATAGAATGATTTCCCCACTTTTGATGTGCGTTGTTTAAAACGGGGTATTTTTCAGGTAGGGATGAAGTCTTACCCAGAGCATAGTTCCCCTTCCCTCAAACCCCAGAAGCAACAAGAACAACAAAATCTAGTTCTTCCTTCTAGATGTTCCCAGTATTGCAGTCTGGTTACACTTTGTCTTCCTGAAGAGATGAATAACCAAACCTCTGTAAAAGGAAAATCAGCCACAGCTTAAATAAATACTATCTGTAAATATTGTAACAGTGGTCACTCTACTGTACAAGTGCATCACTGAACACATTAATGTGATGAAAGAGAACTTTAGTGTTATATATTTTGCTCAGTTCCATGTTTATGTTCCCTTTCAAGTGAAAACTTGTAATTCCCAGAAGAGCCACAATAAGCTTGAAAACTGAGGTTGGATGTCAGGAGCTATTAATGAGCCATCCTCTTGGCTCATATGTGTTCGCAGCCAGGGTTCACCATCAGCATTCACCTTCCATCTTCCTCAGCTGGGCTGTCTGGCAGGTGCTGGGAGGGGTGAACACCGAGGGGTCAGCAATGCCCAGCTGTAGGTCGAAGAAGCGAGTGGAGGTCGTCACGCTGTAGTTCTTCGTGTAGGTTTCCTGTACAGGGTAACAGTCTGTCACTGTGTAAACGCCAACCCACGATTCCACTGTAACCAAGCAGAAACAGGACTGTGTTAGATGACACAAAAGAATGAATGAATTAATTAATCAATGTGTCATGTTGACGTCAGTCAGAAAGGTGGCTGCTCCTCAAGCAAAGCCTATAGGCTGGAACTGCCCATGCTTCTGTCCACATGCATGGCAACGCCAACCAAGGCCACAAAGCTGGTATAATCTGGGCAGCACAATGGTCTTAAACTTGAACACATCAGTGCCAAGCACATTTGAAATCATGGGATTGGAATGTCACCTTTCAAGTAGACCCCTCCTGAAGGACCGTGACTTCTGCTTAGTCCCAAGGTTCACTGAGTTCTGCAAAACTCTGATTTCTCTCCCCTCTCATGCCACTCCTATGGCAGCACTTACTCACTTCACCAGGAAAGCCATTCAAATGCTCTGTTTACCCAGGAGGCAAATTTTGGTGCCACCAGCTTGGGTATCACAGGGACATTTCATCTCACACTGCTATTGACAACATTCTCACCTCAGTGAGTTTGGTTTTGAATATGCAGAAATGGAGGCTTCTTGTCCTCAACACGTCTTCTGTCAAGGTAAAATCACAGTAGCCCATACCTCCATTGAAACCTTTGTCAGTTTAACAGAAATACTATTTCTAGAATCCAAGCCCATATTAGCTGAAAGGAGGATGATGTGACAACTTGAAGACATTATTTTTATGAATGATCATACAGAAAAGCACTGGAAACACAAAATAGTACAGGATAAAAATCGCACATCATTAACTGAATGCATCTGGATACCAAGTTCCATAAAAGTTCCAACAAATACCGGATCTGAAAAACAAAATTCTTGGAGTAAGTGATAATTTGCCTCTTGTGGAATACGAGAGGATATACAGACCTAGTTACAAAGGTCTAATGATCTTATCCTTCGTTTTCTACCTCATTCTTTCTATTTATAGTCAAGAAAAAAAACCTTTTTCCCCTGGCTAAATGCTCAGGTTCAGCCTAGACATTAGGTGTCTATAACCATAAGTATTGCATTAGCTGAATAGTGCCATTAATTCTTCTTAGAGTTGTGTGGATCACCAGTAAACCACAGCTGACATTGAAGCCGATGTGCTAACAAATTGCTATGCTTCCAAAATATGGTACCTATGGTACCTTGGAAAATTCAGGCTACTTTCTTTCATGACGCTGGTGTTCAGCTGCCAAGTGCGGATGTTTCTTACTAGTGTAGTGGATAACAGAACTTAACTGAATATTAAGGATGTTCCACTGCTGCAGAACCATGTATTGAATGTCTTCTACAGTAACACTTGATAGCGGCGTGTAGACACACACTGACACCTGCTTTGTTTCTATTATGCCCACTCTAGTTTGAGTGTGCCCCTAATTACACCACCAATTCTTCTATAAATAAATTTTGGATTCAGAAGCAAAATGATGCTGTTCCATGCCAAAATCTGTATGATGCAAGCTAAAATACATTCAAGCCCCTTGGGCATATTTGATCCTGCTGAGATATAGAACACTCTCTTAATAAAAAACATTGATAATAAAGTCATATGCTGTGCACAAGAGATATTATTTCTTCCAGCCAGCATTATAGAAATGTGGAAAGTTGGGGTGAGTCATACAGAGTTCTATTTTTCCCTGGGTAGCAGAGACAATGACTACTATTCAGATGAAACAAACCCATGCACATACATACATTTCCTGGCTGGTTTTCTGTCAGACCATTCCTGTACCATAATTTTGTCTCCAGGTCCCCCAATGTAGTACTGATCTTCATAGGTTGAATTGGCAGGAATATCATAGGGATCCCACGGCTCTGTCAGAGCAACCTTCGAGCAAAGCTTTGTAACTTGCTCAATCTGAAACATCACTGCATCTTTGTAGAGGAATATATACTCAAAAAATCTGAAACAGCAAAAAGAAAAGCAGTTAATATATACAGTCTTCTTCTCTGCTAAGCAAGGAGCATTGCTGGCAAGTAAGCTTGCCTTTGACTTCTCAGTTTAAGTCCATTTTCACTTGCATTAAACTCTGCCACTTGGAGAAGGGCTAACCAGTTGGGCTGAAGTTTCCCATGCTGAAAGTTTGCCTCAGCTGACTCTCTCCAGAACAAATAAACCAGGCTGAACCGGTTCAGCCATTTCTGAGAACAACAGAGCAACTTTTCTGAGAACATCTGAGAGGAAAACATGTTATTATTGCCCGTTTTGTTACAGGCTTTAATAGCTGTTTCATTAAACAGCTCCTGTGCCTCCATGTTTTGGAGAAAGCACTTGAAATTTGGCAGGGGAAAAGTTTTGATTAAAAGTTGCCCAGATTTGGCCAAGTTATAAGCCTTTGGAAAAAAATCTGCTTGCATAGGCTGCATAGATTCAATTTGCTGTGACTGGGGTAGAGCCTTTCTCTGTGATGGTTAGATCTGGTATCTGCCATCCTCACAGATGCTCCTCCACAGACATGCTGGTGATGGGGCAAGGACATGGACCAAGTGCAGAACTGATTGGCTCTCCATCCTCAATGGCAAAGTTTCTCTCTGGAAGCCACCAGGTTCAGGAAGTAGTGAAAGGAGAAAGCAAAACAGTAAGGCAGAGGTAAGGAGACGTGTGGAAATCAATGAGCACCAGAGACTAGAAGGGGAGGTCAACAAAGTGGGTACTTAATAAGGATTTAAAAACCATCTTCTATAGAATATGAAGTGCCCAAGCCCTGCTCCATGAGGAGGGATAACAAACACCATCATGGACATTTTTATCTAGTTACTAGTTATAGTCAGTATATGCATCCATACCTACAAAGAGGAGGTGGCATGGTCCCTACCTTATAACTGGTGACAGAAACAGAGAGAAACTGAAATCAGAGTTAACAGCAGTATCAGCTGGTACCAGCACAGACCCACCAGAAGCCTGCCTTCTCCAGGGCACTTGGCATCACACATCAGACCATGAGTACTTCAAAGCACAACTCAAAACCCCCTCATATGTGCTCTGCACCTTTTGCAAAGGAGAGCCAGGAGTCACTCTCTAAACCCCCCAAACCTGTGTACACTCTATTAGAGGCTTCCTGTGGGTATCTCAGCTCAAGTATTTGGCTACAGTCCACTGTTACGCAGTGACTCTGAAGAAAAGGAAGGGATGGCATTAATCCCCTTGAACAGTTTCATCTTGCCTATCTGCAATACGCCTCTCTCCATCTGTAATTCCCGTGCCATCAGCAAGACAGGAGGATGCTGGTGGAAAGCACTGCGCAATTGCACAGTCCACGTAATTGAAGAGATGATGCACAAAACCAAGAGGGGACCTCCTCTGTGGTCTTTCCCATCCCCTGCATGTTTCTCTTTGCAGTCTTCACATTGCTTTGGGGAGGATGCAAATTTACATGAAACAGGGCTGACAAGAAAACAATTTACAGGTGTAACTGCTGATCTACACAACTGCATCGGCCAGGAATCACTTCACCCACCACTGGCACAGAAGCTTTTAAAGGCTGCACTAGGAGAAGGGCTATAAAGCGTGGTTAAAAGCATCCGAGGGACATCCCCACCACCGTTTGAGGGGATCACCTCTGCAGCATGTGTGGAAACACAGGCAGAATAAATGGCACTAGCAAACGGAGCACTGAGGAAGCACACAGCAGGGGACAAGCAGGCCCACAGGAGGTAACCATACCTCTCACACACGACCCTGCACAACACGGAATAGAGCTTGTCCCGCTTTCCATGACGCAGGCAGTCACCAGGAACTCCCCCATACGGACACACACACACAGAGGCTGGCAAGCTGCAAGATTATGTATTAGCTTCCCTGTGTAAGTTGTCCTCGTGTCTGTATCTTACAATATTCCTGCTTCTTGCACCAACCTGAACTCACCTGCCATTTTCCTCATCAAAGGCAATGTCTCCACAGCCGTGATACGCTACTGAAGAATTCATATACATAAGCTGGTTCCTATGACCACATCAGGACACATCTAACTTTGATATCCCACCCAGTCCAGAGACCATCCTCACAAGAATGCTAAAATACGCTTATTTATGTGTTTGCAACCCGGGTGCAATGACTCAACTCCCATTCATCTGGTAAAAGTGGGATGCAGAATGCCTCACGGATGAGTCCAATAACATGTTTGAGGTATGTGAGTGATAATACAGTCATTTTGTGGACGAGCAAAGGAGCAAGGTTAGCGAAGCATTGCAGACTACTGGGAATAAAACATTCCATTTCTTTTTCATTTTAAATCCTTACTTAGAACTTCTTCAGCACAGAAATTTTATTTGCATTTTTAACAGCATTTTGTTCACATTTTCTTTTTCCTTACCCTTTATCAATCATTCCACAGAATATTTACCTTTTGTTCTCCATTTTGCAACCTGTGAATTGCTATCATTGCATGAGGGGAATGTGCCACCTTTATTCAAGTGAAACTTGTGCAGTAGTTCAAGCTTCAATCCGATGAACGTGTGTATTTAACTGCCAGGACATGGATAGCCACCATGACTCCAACAGACGGCCTGAATACTTGCAGAAGGAGGGCCCACATCCATCTCTGTGCCCATTCTGCAGAGCAAGAGGCTCCATCACCTCCGTTTTTGGTTCGGGGACTGAAGACAAGAGACACCAGTTGTATGAATTGATGGGCTGCTGGGATGAGCTCAGCACACACAGAGGATGAGACTGCACAGAGTGTAGCTGTACTCATGGGTAAGCCATGAGCATGGTTTACACTGTCAGTGTTCAACCCAGGGGTACCTCACATCCCAGTTTCAAAGCAAACTGCTCCTGTGTGCGTCCTGGAAGTAGCAACAAAACCCTAAGATCACACAGGATCCGAGTTTAGCTGCGTATGAAAGGTGAATGGTCAAGTTGCTGGTTTAGAAAGAGAACTCCTAACCAGCCAAAATTAATACCAAAATGTGCAGGAATGCACAAATGACAATTCTGAAGCAAAATATTTTAAAACAATTTGCTTTTCTTCCTTTTTCTCTTTCCTTTTACCAGCCAAGCCCTAAGAATAGTGCCTCTATTTGGTTTAGGGGCCCGAGATTTCACTGGCTGCTTGAGGGGAAGCACAGAGCCCTGCAAACAGGTCTTGGCAAAGAAACCAGAGAGGAAATGATTTGTAATCAGTTTGTGTTTTCAGAAGTAACACATCTTCAGCCTGAGCCCACCTCAAACATTGGGTTCATAACAATTTCACTTCTTCAACTGGAACTTCAAGAGGGCCTCAACCTGTTCACTGGGCACCTGCAAGCAGGTTTGGAGAGGCTCCTTGGACAGGTTACCCTATTTGCCTGACGGAGATTATTTCCCTTCCTTTCCTATCCTATTCCATCCTACCCTGTCCTATGCCTCACACCCTTTGTACACTATACCCTTAACAGGACTCTCTCATGGTTCTTAATACTCCCTTTGTCTGTGCCTGAAAATGGATGAACTCCAGAATATAAACACGCAGACATGGTTTTTGCTTCTATACTTGAAAGGTTTTCTTAACACTGGACTATATCCTGCTCAAATAAGTCCACGGATTTTGCTGGAAGCAATCGTGTCAGATAGGTGGGATACACACTGCATTCTGTACTCTCTTCTGAATAAGAGACCAACCGAACTGAATGCAAGGGCAGAATACCGTGCCCACGCAATCACAAGGCAAAGCACTTGCATGAAGACATACTGTGAGGAGTGGGTGTGCATCCAAACACCATCCTACCTCTGAGAGTCCTCATCCAGTTTGGGGAAGCAGGGAGAGGTGCCTCCAAGGAGTCAGCCCAGATAACACAGAGACATAAGTGATGGAAACCAATAAACGCATGGAATGACTTGTCTCCTGCAGGGATCATTGTTCTGTATGCTATCGATGCAACTCAAAACAACGAATTACTGCTTTTTGTATTTGTCAGGACAAAGAGTCATTAGACTCGAGAACATGCCGCCAGCTCTGTTCCAGGTACTCAGTCTCCACCGAGTCCTGCCCTATGCTGAGGTCCTTCCTAGCTGCCACTCCTGAAGCATCACAGCCTGCCCATCAACTCCACATGACCCCCAGGGTTTCCTCCGCACTTCCAAAGGCTTCCTCCTGAGCGTCAAACCTGGAAGGAAGGAGGTGCTTGCTGTCCAGTTGCCTTCACAGCGACTCAGAGGAGCAGAAGTGCTGGCAGTGGCATGCCAAGACCCGCGTGATGCGTCTTGGAGCACATCAGACAAGGTCATTTGCTAGAGAGAAGTGAAATAATGGTCTGAGGCTGAGGCTGGGTAACAGAAATTCCTTGTGTGCTAAATCTACCTCGGCATCATTTTGCTCTGTGGCTTTGGATGAGTAACTTACAGCACTGGAGCCTTAAAATGCCTTTTTTGATTGCTGTAGCATTGAAGAGGCACGGAGCAGGGATCAGAAACCATCTGAGTGAGGCATTGTATTAACAAAGCACAAAACCACATTTCCTGTCCCCCAAAACAACGGAACAATGGTTCTTGTAAAGGAGGCTTTCCTTTCCTGCAAAGCCATATGGGGTTTCATGCATTTAGGGCTTTAACCTGTTGATCCAGTTTTCTCAGCTGCAGTTACTGCATCCTTAAAACTCCCACTTGAGTTAGCCAGGACTTACATTACCTCATAAGCATTATAAAGCAACTGAAAAACAAAAGCAAAATTTCATGTATGATTTCTATCAGTATTTGCTATTTAAGATACCAAGTTGGGGTCGTTGTAATTGTTCCAAAGCCAACTTTGCTTTCTCTTTTGAGATTAACTGAAGGCTTGAAGCATCAGTCTGCCTTTGTGGTATTACTCCTTTGCCAGGTAAAAAGACACCTTCAAACACCACGGAAGAGGTTCTGATGAGAAGAAATTGCACTAAAAATGCCCCAAACAAGTGATCTCTTCTAGTGAGCACGGACAGGTCCATCCAT